AGATCACCCAGTCCAACCGTTCACCTATTCCCAATAGCTCCTACTAAACCATGTCCCTCAACACAACATCCAGCCTTTCCTTGAACACCCCCAGGCTCGGTGACTCCGCCACCTCCCTGGGCAGTCCATTGCAGTGCCTGACCACCCTTTCTGAAAAGTAATACTTCCTCATGTCCAGCCTGAATCTCCCCTGCCGTAGCTTGAAACCATTCCCCCTGGTCCTATCACTAATGACACGAGAGAAGATGCCGACCCCCAGCTCACTACAACCTCCCTTCAGGAAGTTATAGAGAGCAATAAGGTCTCCCCTGAGCCTCCTCTTCTCCAGGCTGAACATTCCCAGCTCCTTCAGCCTCTCCTCATATGGCCTGTGTTCCAGACCCCTCACCAGCTTTGTTGCCCTCCTTTGAACACGTTCCAGGGCCTCAATATCTTTCTTGCAGTGAGGGGCCCAAAACTGGACACAGTACTCGAGGTGCGGCCTCACGAGTGCTGAAAACGAGTGATTTTGTTCAGCACTTTCCCTAAGAAAAGGACATTTAACAGTTTATCCAAGAAGCCTCCCCTTACCAAGTATCACCAAAGAAAAACAGCATGAACAGTCTCCCAAAGCACTCAAATTCTTTAGAGACAAAACTGTAAAGAAACCCTATAGCCATGAATACCTGGGCTTAGTTTTTGTTGTGTAAGTTTTATGCATTAAGCATATGTAAGCATATGTTATCTTGACTGCTGTTCCATGTTTTGAATGATTGAAGTGTATCCTGACTCCTACCTACTGCCTGATGCAGCTAACTGTCTGATCTACTATGTGGCTATTTGTAACAGTAAGGGCCTATAACAGATGACAGTAAGCTTCTTCATGCTCTTCTGCTCCTAATAATGCTGTGCTACTTCCCTTCATGATCCTGCTTTCTGTTTGCAATAAGAAACATATAACTGATGCTCCCTAGAGAAGATGAAATCCAAATGAATCTGTCAAAGATACCAGTCAGTGACAAAGGGAGCCCACTGTCCTTAGTTAACTACATTAATAGGCTGATTGTTGTTCACTGCATCGATGAGAATTTTTCTCGACTTCAGGATATCAATGATCAGTCCATCTCATAATGAAAATATTAGATATACAAATTGCTATGAAGTAGGGAGATTTTTTTTTTCCATACCACAAATAGACCACTGACCTAAGGGGAAAAAACATTATTTACTACATAGTAGATATGATAAAAATGTTTCAGATATCACTGTCAGCCTGGATCCTGCTAAGGTCATATGCATTAGCATGAAGATTACAGTTTACTCTATAAAGAAAATCAAATTAAATCAGGAGTGTTGATTACCACCATTAACAGTCACCAGTGGCAGCCATCTTATGGGAAGAGTTTCATCTTTGCCATTACAGCTGGATAACAAACGTTAGCAGGTGCTCATCCATCACAGACAAGATTTTACTCATTTTATCTGAAGATGAATTTATTTCTTTGTTTTGAAGTTTGCCTCTTGGGCTCTTCTAGGATCTGTAGTGTCTAATAAGTTAGAAATCAAATCATTCTGGGCTCTGCACCTAATACTGCTTTACACATTTTGGGAGGGGCTAGGAACAGAGGGATAAGAAACAAAGGACTGAATGGAAATGTTACATCACACAAAGATCTGCCTGACCAGAACCAAAACCATCAGACAACAGATACCAAGGAAAGTCGTGTCTCCACATAAGACACCTGAAGAATTCTTTGGATGCTTTTCATGTTGTCTCCTTCTCTGACAGCCTTTAATCTTTGGGAAGGAATGGGCTGCAGGATGTATAAAATTACCCTAATCACCTGCAGTCCACTTCACTGCACCTAAGTGTTTTATACATTCTCATGCAAAACAATTAGACAACAAGGTCTCCCTTACCAGATTATCGAGCATTCGCATAAGAGCTTCAAATTCCTGTTCACCAATCTGCCATTTCGGATGAGATACAGAACCATCACCTGATGGAGACTCAGGGGAACGAGACTTGGCTTTATACTTTCCAGGATCTAACAGTACTAAATTGTCTGGTCCACCTGCACTGGCCAGAGTACGTACCTTAAAAACAATACAATCAACTATTAGTTTCTTGAGGGAAGAGGGAAAAAAAAACAAACAAACAAGTAAAAATCAACAAACCAAAAGAAATCTACTTCATTTTAAAGGTAAGCCAATCAACTGTATAAAAGTTGCTTTAAGGTTCTAAAAAACACTCTTAGAAGGATTCACACCATAGCAATGGTTCTAGCTCAGTATTTGGATACTGCTGGTAGAACCAGTGCTTTGGATGTTTGGATGATATAATGATTTGACAGATAACTGCATTCATTTAGATCAATAACTTAACCAGTAAAATGCACAACTATTAATCTGTTTGAAGGTCAGTATAGCAGACTGCAGTATTAAAATAAACACTAAAATTCTTACTTGGATCTCACAGGCAAGCACTAGGTTATGAATATAGTAGAAAGCCTCCTCAACAGTCTCTCCAACTGATACTAAGCCGTGGTTTCTTAGAATAAGGACCTAGAGAGTCATTGCAAAGAAGATTAACAAAAATCATGCAAGTATTTTCAGTGAATTATATATGGATCCTGATTAAATAACATCTCCCTTCCCCCCCACACCTCATTTAATTTCAGCTGTAACTACTGACCTTGCTTTTAGGTCCCAAGTTTTTCTGAATAACCACCTTTTCTTCATCATCCACTAAGATACCATGGTAGTCGTGATAAGCTACTTCCCCTAGAGAAAGGGCTTCAGGTGATATTGGCAATAGGCCACACTTCATTGCAGAAACCTGAGAAATATAGAAACAACACACTTAACTTGTTTCAAGAGGAAAAAAAAATTAGGTATATACATATCTGGAAAACTATTGCTATATACATAAATATAGATAGATAGATAGATAGACAGACAGACAGACAAATATTAGACCACTACAGAAGCCATAAAGGAAGCAAAACAATGATTAAGAAGAGACTGACATATTTATGCATTTGCATGTGGGGAGGGAAATGGAACACAGACAGCAGAAACCAAACAACATGCTCACCGCTGCCCCTGCTGGGGTATGAATATGAACAATGCATTTAACATCAGGTCGAGCTGCATAAATTGCAGAGTGCAAAGTAAAACCAGCTTGGTTTACTCCCAAGTTAGTGCTTCCACGGTCAACTACATCTCCCTGAATATTGATTTTAACCTAGAAATGAAAAGAATTTGTTTCATAAATCAAAAACTGACAGAAATCTGATTTAACACAGCATCTACCTCTGAAACTTTAAAAATAAATTTCTTCTGTTATTCTATTTTTACAAGTACTTACATTTCCGCTATAAAGATAAAAGCAAGCAGAGAAAGTTAAAAATCAGCCCACCCAACAACACAAAAGCCAGCATGTGTTCCTTAATCTCTTCTAAAAGATCCGAACTAACAAGGGTAGGTCTTACCTTCCTCATTTCCTTTTCTTACAGTTTTTTTAATCAAAATTTTACAGGCTATTAAAGGTGGAGTTGTGTAAGGAACAGCCAAACTTCACAGAAAGCCAAAGGGGGAGTATTCAGGACCTTTACTGTCACAAGGAACACCAGTCTGAAAGGTTACTGCTCCACAAACACCTCATCCCTCTGCTAGAGGTTACTGATCTTAAAGGAGTCGAAGCAGAAGAGTAGTGTGAAAGCTTCCATTTTGTTCCAGCATAAGGAAGCCCACTGCATTAACTCAAGCTGCCTTCAGCAGCAATGTAAACTTAAGACCGATGCTTACAAAAGGCTTCCCATGAGCTAACAGCTAAGAGTGCAGTGTCTTCAACTACTACCATCAAAACTCAAAAAGAGTGTTTATCTGCAGTCTCAGCTAATTGTTAAATGATTAAACAATGTCAACTGAACTAAGTATCTGACAGAATGTCTTGACACTGAAACTGGCATTTGTGTCAAAAATACATGTTGTTTCCCTTAACAAGCCTGACTCAGCAGCCAATGCTTTTCAAGGGTATGATGTGGTTAATTTACTCAAAAGATCTGGTTCCTGTTTACATCTTGATCAGCTGGAGGACATCTGATGATGAACACAGGGAAAGAAACCTTTCTTAAAAGACACCTCAGCAGTACCAAGGCCAACCACGCTCAATAAAGCAATCCTAAACATGTAAAAAAATAATTTAAGAAGTATTCTCTAGGACAGAATTTAAACACTTAGAAAACATTCAGCTGTATGTATTTTACAAATGTGAAAAGTTATCACTGCTTACCAGACTGGAGGCAGTAACTTCACTGTAAAGAAGTCCAAAAGGTACAATGAGGAAGTGCTCCTGCTCAGAATTTACTCTGGCCTAAGGATAAGAGTAAAAGTTAAGTTATTGGGAATATTTTAATAAAGCATACAAGAAGGCCCAAAAACATGGAAGTTACTTTTAATTCCTGAGTATGGAACAAGCAAGTATGGCTATAGCACATGCAATACAACTTTCATGTATGCTGTGATAGATGGTCAACACGCTTATGGCACACTGAACAGACTCAGATGGTAGGTGCAGGCCAGCTGTTCAGGCTGGTGGAACACTGCAAAGTCCTTACGTTCTGCAGAAAAGACAGCTAGATAACTATAGATAAAGAGAATGACATGGTGATAAATGCAAAAAGGTGTTGCCTTTTTTTTTTTTAAGAATGAATTTATACTTCAACTGTATTTACACTCCAGTAAGATAGAAAGTATAAAAGAAAAAGTAAGAAAATCTAAGAATTTGGCCCACAGAGTTAAAATTTCTTGATGCTGAGTAGGGTTTCACCACTGGTCCTGGGATGCCATGTGAGATAACCAAGTTCATAATACAAAAATAATGCTGACTTCAAAACATTCACAGCTCGGAATGCATCAGTTTCAACACTGCACCATGAAAAGTACTGGACAGATAATTTAGGAGTTTCTCAATGGAGAGTTAAAATGGAGAATTAAAAGAAATAAGTCATGGTAACAAAACTGCTCATTTCAGATGTGTGTTTCTCTGAGCTCACGGAGATCTTTTAAAATGATGTTTAGATACAATTTTATGAAGTTCCCTACTTTGCTACTTGTCAACACAGAGCGATTGAAGTTTGAAGGAAGCTCTGCAAGTAATTTCATCCAACCCACAAACGTTCCACTGCCTCAAGATGCACCTACTTTTTGCTCACTCAGGTCTTCTACTACTTTCAACATTAAATGGATCCGTACTTCCTACTGCAGGAAAATAATTTTTTTAACAAGTAATTGATCAGTGTCCTGAAAGTTTATGGTACAAATCTGCCTTCCTTGATAACCAGCTGATTACATGCCATAGCACACGAGCATTGAACTGCACCAGCTAGTTCAAGTTAACCTGTACCTTTATGAATCACCAAAATAATTCTCCATTGCAGAGTTTTAAGTGATCTAGAAAATCTTTTACTTAATTATGCAAAACAAAAAACAGGCATTATTAAAATGCCCCAAAAGCTAATGAGAAAGCTTGAGCATAAAAAGATAAACAAAAAGTCGCATCTCCCAAACCACCCTACTTCAGGATTAGATCCAATAAACAACTCATGCCCTCGAAGCAAAGCAAGACCAAGTGAATGAAGTAGCTGCAGCAAACCTGCAGTCTCAAATTCTGCCTAGCCCTGGAGGCACCCATGTTTACTACAAATCCTTTTACTTGACATGAAAGCTCTTGGTAACTCTGTAATTCTGCTTCTGCGTCAGGACTGCACCAGTCTGAACACTTCCACACACAGATTGATAGGGATCCAGAGAAGCGGAGGTATTGCAATCAGCTCTCTCATATGCTCACAAAGCATTTCTCCTCCATCTTACACAGGGACACTCTTCACAGAAGGCTGTTTTCATCTTTTTAGTCTATTTTCCAAGAAGTACACTAGTGGCCTTTAACTTCAGTGTGATCACCTGCAAATTACATCACTCACTCACAACGAAAGAAAACCTGGAGTCAAAATCCAGCTCTGAATCAGGTGATAACATCTGCCACATTCTGAAGAGCACCTTACTTCCACAATACCATTTCATATATAAGCATACAGAACAAAGATGAGACTATTCTGTCAACGCAACAACCTTGTTCCACATCAACTTCTCAAGGTAAATTATATCTTAGTCACCTTCCAGGCATAAGAGAGTTAACTATCACTTGTCATTGCTGGTGACAAACGATTAACCAAAAACTTTCCAACACTGCTTTGTCCTTCAAAAGCAAAATACATCCAAAACATTTCCAACATCTCGTACTCCAAGTGCCCTACCTTCCAACTAAACTGCTAACGCGTTATCCAACTTCATTATCTACGCTCTCTTTCCTTCTCCTATGTAAAAGAAAACAAACTTGATGCATTATTTCCCAATTATACGGCCTTAGTTATGCCTCTGGGCACACAGCTCCTCATTACGCTTAACTTAGTATCTAAACTCAAATATTCCCAGGGCTAAATATGACACTAGAAAGCCATCTCTAAAACTGCTTGCCTGCTATTCTTTTACAGCATTAATATTCCTTTTACAAAAGCAATTCTCATGTCATGTATGAAAAATCAGCTGTTTACAAGAACCACTCTGTTGGATACGTTCCCTCAGTAAAAGAACCACATGGTCTAATCAGCACTGCCTGATCCTGCACCTACTCATATCACTTATTATCTTCATCAGTTCATAATACACCTTGAAATCTCAGAAAGCAGAAATAATTAAATTGCCATATTTCATTCAGATTGCAATTAAAAACTGAAAATACATTAAGGACCACCTTTACAATGTGGAACAAAACCCTACAACAATCCAGCTTTGTTAGGAAAACAATTGACTGAGTTGCACACCACAGCTGTGACTTCACTCATGAGACTCATGTTGATCATCCTTCTGGGACACAAAACCTCCTTGATTTGACCTCCTTGTCATTCTTATTACAGATGCCAGCGGTTACTCAGTCACAAAGAAAACTGTTGGCATGCAACACTAAGCTAAACAGTCCACTCATGTTCTGAAATACTACAGTTTCTTTTACAAAGAAGTCTGAAGAGAATTGTCAATGAAATTCAATAGTATTACCAATGAAAAGATGGCTTAGCACTTTGAAAATGAAGACATCAGCTTGCAGAATAATACACAGAATTACTCAAACCATTTAAGATACTCAAAGATTCAGTCTTTTAAGAACCTTAAATTTCATTGTAAGACTTTTCACGTTCACTTTCCTAAGACACTATTCAGACTATGTAGCTGACATCCAAGCCATTTCAGTTCTTATTCTTGAGATGCAATGACTAATCTCTTCACTATTATACTGCTTTCAATACCACTTTGCTCTTCTTCCACACAAAGGGAAAAAGACAGATGATGGAGGGAGTCAGTTCACTTGTATTCTAAAACAATTGGTTCAGTTCTCCATTGATTCAATACTCACTGTTATATGATTGTAAATAAGCTGAGACCAGCCAAAGAGATCTGCTAATCTGTAGAAAGCCGCCAATTTACATCGTAATAACTTCTCCCCTTTTTCATAAGCAATGGAATCAGACCCCCTGAGATCATTCACTGGTGTCACCATGCCAAGGCCTGAGAAGAGAAAAAAGCACAAGGCAGTTGTGTTCAGTGTCAGCTAGAATACAATAACAGCCACCACAGTTGCAATGGTTTTTCTTGCTAGTTAATATCAACATATTAGCCTTAGAAATGAAGAGCAAGATTTAATTACTGTAGTGTCATAATGTATATTACATCAACATAATTAAGATCTCTGACAAGATCTTAGGTAGAGCCAGCACAAGTTTCCTTCTTTAATGTTCACTGGGGTTAAGGTGGCAATAAGTTCTTTAGCAAAATCTCATATAAAATACAACTGTTCATTGATAACAGAGAATTGCAACCTCAAATATTCCACTTTTTGAAACATACGGGTTTTTATCCCTGGAAAGAAGAATTATACACCCAGTGAGGTCATTTAATTGAGAAATAATAAATGCAAGCTAAATAGAGGATTATAGTAAAGCATTACAGTTACTATAAGTCTAGTTACAGTGCATTGACAAGCATGATTCAGAGGAGCTGTGATAAAGCAGAATCTGCCATGAGATCGTCTCAACTACAGATTTATTCTGGAGCACAGAATTGTTTTATCCTAACACAAAACCTGTGTGTGCACATATTCACACATATTTGGGTGGTTTCTTCTTTCCATGTGTGCGTTTTTGGGTTTGTTTTTTTTTTTTCTTTTTTTGTTTCTTTTCTCTTTTTTCTGATGTTTCTTTTCCCACTTCACAAAAGAAAGCTGTGAATAGTATTTCAATTGCAAAAAATAGTTCCCAAAGACCTTTGCTGTTACCAGACTATGACTGAGATTCATCTTCCTGTAGACAATCCAGCTGGTAAACATTAAAACATTTACATTTTCAACTAATGTTCACTTATCAGGCTTATCTTTCAATTAAGACATTCTTCTTCAGATGGCTTTTGATATAAATCACACACACAAATTACAATGTGTATCACCGTCACTTAGAAACGAATCCACTCATTTTCTGTTTGCAATGTTCCAATCAGAGAACAAGGTAGTATGTGAACTTCACAGAACACAATGAAATTCACAGCATTCAACGCTGTCTTCATGTTAAGCCTTTCAGACAAGAGAATTCAACTACTCTACGTTCATGTGCACTCACTCATGTTTAACGCAGCCATTCCGCCTTGTGGTGCTGCTGGGTAGACATTTGGCACATTTGTTGTCATAAAATCTGCAATCTGCTGCAAAGCCAATAAACCCGTTGGATTCTTCCCCTTCTTAAATTGTTCCTGGATCATAGACTCCAATTCTTCACAAAAAGCCTGCAACAGGACATTGCATATTGTAAAGTACATACATGCGAACTTCAGCTTTTCAAACACAGTTTCTATAAAGTGCCTAAATGAAAATGTGCTATAACTCTTCTCCAAAACAGCTCAGCATAGCACTACTGGGTGCACATTTTCATTTGAAAATGATGCTGTCTGTAGCAACAGCAATACGGGAAACTTATTTTTTTGTAAATGGAAATTTCAATATTCTCTCTCCAAGTAACACACTCAATTGAATTCAAAGAAAACAAAATCTGGAAGAAAAGTAATTGGAAGAAAAAGAATACATCAGTATGGTTCAGAGGGAACTGAGTCAAGAAGGCATGCAGGAACACATGGTCACTGCATCCTGAAACAATACTTTCCTTTGTACCTGTGCATGCGTGTGTTTCTTTATCACTGGATGAAGGAAAACAAGATTTTAGATTGTTAGTAGGTGCTGCTTTTGAAAAAAAATACTGGAAATTGAAATATAAGTATTCCTATCAGTAGGTAAATAATAAATCAAAGAAGTTGGTCCCACCTGAAAACCAGCAGGTGTACCACCACAACCCTGTTCTTGCTGAAGACAGATCATAACACATTCTGTATCTAAAGTCTCCCATGAGTTACGATAAAAGGAACAAACGTTATGAAATAAGCTTTGTTATGTGAACTTTCTCCATAATCCTCAAATTATTCAATACTTCTAATTGTGCACCTCTTCTGGAAGAGATGTATGATAATATTCCCAATGTCAGATGACAAAAACCTGAACACAGAACAGAGCTGGTTTGCATAAGCTACCCTCAGGAGAGTTACTTGATTTCAATACTTAAATGAATGTTAAATATGAAGCAATTTTAAAAAATGTTTTACTGTAAGTAAATAGATGATATGAAAAGAATGCTGACTGCTTACATACAGAATTCCGAAACCAAGTCTGAGAGGCTTCTTCATGAGCAGACAATAAAACTTCAACCAGATAATGTGAGAAAAATCGGGCTACTAACTTGAGAGAAAGTTAAAACAATAGAGCTAATAAATTCATCGCCTCAAAGATGGAGCGTTTTCTTTTCTTACTGGGCTTTGAAGAATCATGGAGACTCTCTTCTTCTGTTCCATCATGTTAAAATCCTGGCGAAGGTCAGGTGCCATATTCCTCTCTCTCAAGTAATCTGGATTATTTTCATCAACTCGATCGAAATATCTCTCTTTATGAGGGGCTGTTGTTGGAGGTGGTGAGGTCACCACCGCCGCACCAGAATCACCATTCATAGTACAGCTTTATGGAACCTGAAGAGGACAAAGATGAGCAAATTAAACAAGAAAATAATGTGGAGAACTCAGTAAGCATTTCCTGTTGCAGAGAAAAAGTTCAAATCCACCTACAGTTGGAATGGCCTCCCAAACTCAAAAGCCCTGTTTCTGCAATTGAATAGCAATAACATAAAGAAAAAACAGTGTTAAAAGATGTGACTAGAAATGTAATCTAATACACATGCAAGTTGAATGTACTATGTGGATACATGCGACACAAACCACCACAAAAACACCCACATTCAGCTCTTGAAGCTGACTCCAAAGCATGGTTTTCCAAAGCACAAAAGTCTTTCAAATCTTGTTACAGACAGCACTGCAACAGCACATGATGTCTACATTCACTGTAACTTTTTTAAATTTCAGACATTTAAGTCAATGAAATGAGCCCACTGGCCAGGGCTCACTTCAGCTTTACACCTAACAAACAATTGCAGGTGTTTACCAGAAAGCCTGAAAACAGCTGGCACTGCTCATCCACGCAGCTTTCTTGCACACACAAGAACCCCTTTGTGTAACATCAGCCCAGTTTTCACAGCACATTCTAATCTTCATTCAAAAATGAAGATTATAATGTGCCGTTTTCAAAAATTGGAAGATTTCATGAAGCTTTCTTAGCTTAACAGTTTGATAAAGCAGCCCCTGCAACACCTTACAACTCGGATCTCTCATTCCCAATCATGTATCAAATTCAGCATTTTCAGAGAAGATAATTTTCTTCGCACATCACACACGATTAGCAAAATGTCACCAATGCAAACTGTACTTCACAGAACTGCAAATATTTAATTTGTTCAACAAGCTGCACTGATGTACATTACATATAAAATATGTCAAGTTGAAATCCCATACCCTCGTGGTATTTAGCAACGTTACCAATAAATGTGCCAAGTGAACCTGCAGGTCTTTTCCTGCAGATATAGGAATAGATAAAGGAAATTCAGTATCAGCCTCCAGCTCCCTGCCCCACTGAGATCAAACAGACTCAATTCAGTTATACTGATTTAGACCAGGGACTCAAACAGGCAGGAAAATCTCAATCTCAGCTACTCATTTCATTATGTACCTTCAGTTTTGTAAGGATTCGTACCATCAAAATCTGCTGATACTGGAAGTTACTGCAATTCTTTTTCTGATGCAGAGGGAGAGGTTGTATGTATCATTATCTAAATAATGATTCTCCTGCTGCACATTAGAGCTGGTAAATATTGACACACACCTCTGTTTTAAAATTTTCCTTAGCTTCTTGTCTTGAATTGTGCTTGTCTGTGAACTGGATTAGCCATATACCTGCATGTTTATTAGCTAAAACCACCTCAGATGTGGATGCACACAGAAAAAGTAAGCTATTTTGAAATGCAAAATACGATGAGCAAAATCAGTGCAGTGAAAAAAATGATCTACTTTGAGACATTAGAATCACTAGATCTCATCCCCTCTAATTCTCACATTAGAAAACAGGTCTGCCAGCCATTCCAAAATGCAGTGAACAAATCACTCAACTCCCACTACCCCATTCCACAGCCTATTCTCTGAGCTCCACTGCCAATCCCAATGTCTCTGACTCTTTTTTGTAAAACAACAGCTTGCAGACCCAAGTAGGTGCTCTGCAGACCCAACCACCCCCACCATGGCCCAGCACAGATCCACAACACGGCACATCCGCACTCTTGGCTCCACGCTGCTCCCAGCAACCTCACAAAGGCAATCCCCAAATGGGACCACGGCATTGCACTGAGATTGTTATTCCTATTCTAATCTGGACTTTGAGAAGGATCTGGAATGCAATAATCAACAGGAAATTCAGCATTCATCTCTAGGCAGTCCTTTTACAGCAGAGGTTAAACATCCACTTTGTAGCTCAGTTCTACAGACATCCACTGAAGCCACTGAAATTTATCCACAAATTTCCTCAAAAACCCTTTGTGAGGAAGGCAAGGTGGACTCTGCCGTGAGACCTTCAGCAACACGGGCACAGACAGAAAATAAAAGGAATCTGAACAGTTAAGCAGAGCAGACGGGGAAGTCAGATAAGCTGCAATGGACTTTTTGCCATGCTGCTTGTTCTTGGCACCAGTGTGTCAGGGACACCACACCCTTAACTGAAAGCCACGGCTGGAAGCTCAGTGCACAAAAAGCCTTCCTCTGGGAGCAGAAACTTTCCAACAGAGAGCTGTGGATGCCCCATCCCTACAGGAGCTCAAGGCCGGGCTGGATGGGCCCTGGGCAGCTTGATGAGGTGGGGGCAGCCAGCCCATGGCAGGGCTTGGGACTGGGTGGGCTGTGAGGTCCTTCCAAACCAAATCATCCATGATTCTATGATAGATTATCACCAGGAACAGCATCCATCACTAGGGGCAAACCCATGAAACTCACATCACAGCTTACAGTCACTGAAGCAATTAAATCCATTTATCTCACATATGTGTATGCATAAACGCTATAAATTTCTTAAAGGACACTGCACCAAATGAGAGCCATCAAGCCAGTTCTCAGCATATGGGACTCGCTGTGTGCACAGCTATGGTCAGGAAATGACTGTCAGGAAAGCAGCTTTATACGACTTATAGTGCATTTACAGACAACAAACACTGCTGTCAAAAACATCCTGAAATTATTATTAATACTTAGGATTACTTCTCTTTTTTCAAAATTATAACTACAGTTTCACCTCCATTCACCTACGAGGAAGTGCTACGAGGTTGAACCCAAACAAAAGAAGAAAGGCTTAGAAGAGGAACGACACAAAACTGTTCCTGCTAACATCCAGAAAGAAGAAAAATGTCAGTGTTTTACACAGCTTATGTTCCTCAGCACTCTGCAAGGAGAAGCAGACGATGCACTTCCAGTTTGATAATTCTACACACGTTAAGACAGAAACAGCCAACAAGAATCCATAGTAACTCAAGGGCACAGTAACACTTCCAAACTAAAAAAAAAAACACACGGATTTTCAAAACCACAGCACATTTGGGATGAGATTCCACTGTGGTCAATAAACACATTGAAAATGTTAATATTGCTCCTAATAATACCTGGAAGTTGGGACAGATATCTCAGATTTTATAGGTTCAGTGCTTCTTAGCTTGTAGCACCATCATGAGTATCATGGGAACCTGGAGGAGCTCTTCATGGCTCACAAGAAGCTCTCAGCTAAGGCAGCTATCTGCATTTCTTGGAGGAACACTGCAATCACTTAAAGGTCGGGTGGCTTTCTGTTGCTGGGGAGAGGCTGTGCTTTTTCTGTTGTTTTTTTTTCTTTTCAAATATTATGTTGGTTTTTTTTTTTTGCTATCACAAATAGCAATAGCACTCACTTGTAATGAGTTATTTTTGTTCCTCCACATCCAAAGGAACAGTATTTTTGCTGAGGCTGCAACCAGACAGGACTTGATCTAATCTAAGGGCTCACTGCCACCGAAGGACCGACCGCACCTCTTCACATCAATGCCGATCAATTTGAGCCAGCTGCAGCCAACTGAGAATAAAAGCACTCTCTGAGAAGCAGGAAGGAGCTTGTGTCAAGACAAGGGAGCCCAAAAGACTTGAACCAAATTTTAAACACATTGCTAGCTCTACAGCAGCACGTGCAAAAAGAAACCCACTCCATTCTCCTCCTTAAACAAACAATTAGAGCCATACAATTACTTCATTTATTCTTAAGTTTAGAGTTATCTGATCCAAAATCTTGCAAAATCAAGTCATTTCAAAGAGGGGAAAAAAAAACCCCTACAAAATAGAACACCAAAAACTTAGAATCATAAATATGACTTGTTCTTGTCCTGGCAGCTTACAAATCCCCTGTGCAAAATGCTCTGTGAGCAAAACACTCGTATGGGAGCGTGTGTCCAACTTGCAAAGTGAGTCAGCAGAACTCAGCCCAGAGCCACCACTACAACTCCAGTCACTGGCAAAAAAGGCTGAAGCACGCAGCTGAACAACGATGTAGTCATTTGCTTTGCACCCACTTGTTTCTGATGGTTTCTCTAATGAGTTCTCTCCTCTCTGCCAGAACTCGCAGAATCAGAGGCACTGAAGGGAACCTGAGATCCCCCAGTCCAACCCCCTGCTAAAGCAAGTTCCCTACTGCTGGTTGTACATGAAACCATTCAAGAGGGTCTCGAATATCCCAAGAGAAGAAGAGTCTGCAATCCCTCTGTGCAGCCTGTTCCAGCGCTCTGTCACCCCCAAAAGTATTTTTTGTTTGTGTTTAGATGGAAATTTCCAGCGTCTGAGTTTGTAGCCACTGTTCCTTGTCCTGCTGCTGGGCATTGCTGAAAAGAGACTGGCCCCATTCACTTGCCTGTTTGATAATTAAGCACTGATAAAATCCCTTCTCAGCCTTCTCTTCTCCAGGCTGAACAGCCCCAGCTCTCTCTGCCTTGTCTCATGAAGGAGATGGTCCCTCATCATCTCTGTGGCCTCCTGCTGGAGTCTCTTTTAGAAGTTCTCTGTCCTTCCTAAAATGGGGACCCCAGCACTAGGCAGAACTGTGGCACAGAAAAAAGGTTTGACAAGAAGTTCCTGGAGGACGGAATGCAAAACAAATGGAGCTGGGGAGCTGTGCAAAACTGGGGCACAGAGCAGGAACTGGCAGAAAGGAGCAGGGGAAGGCTGGGGTGACATGCTGCTGCTGGCAGTGCCACTCAAGGTCACCAAGTAGCTGTGCCACACTGACAGCACCAACACCAGGCAGCAGGGAAATGGTCAGGAGTCTGAACACCCACCTACAGACAGCAAGGATCCATCAGCATCTGTGCAAAGAGTTGCTTGCAAGCTTATGCTGTCACTACTTCACCCTATATTCTGATGCTTTCTGTATTTTTAACAATTTTCATTTACTTGAGAACAAAATTTGTCCATCTTGCTCCCTGAAAAATTATTTTATCGGTACAATAATACAAAAATAATACAAAAATAAATGATTTATTGTTTGCACTACACTTTCCACCATGTTCAGTGAGAACATTTTGGCACCAGTGACATTGGATTTGTTCTTTCCATTTCAAATGTTTCCTACTGAACTCTGAAGAGGAAAAGCTGGCGCTATCTTAGGAAGTGCACGAACAAAGAAAGCAAATCATGACCATACTTCTTAACAGACAATGTACTTTGCATCATGAATAACCAAATCATTTTCTTTACCAAATGTTCCTGGCTCATGCATCTTTGAAATTTCCACTGCTTTTTGTTTTTGACCAGGAAGAGACTACTTCATGAACACAAACACTTCTTTATGTCGTACTGAATGAAGGCTCCACCATCCCACTCACCAACAGAGGTGCTGCCAGTTAAATACTGGGTTCTCAAAATACAGAGAAAAGCAACTGCATGCTTATCTCTCTAGAAATGCTGTGTTTCAGATGTATGATATCATGCCTTAGTATCTATGACAGTAATTTAAGAAACAAGCAGGATGAGAGGAAAAGGCATTTCCAATTCTTACATTAAAGCAATCTCTTAGACTGATTACAAACATGCAAAAAGCCAATAACCGAGTTCAAATTCAAGCAAATTCCATATATTTATGAAACAGGACTGCTTTAGGGAAAAGATCAGCAGGAAAAGTGAAAGAATGTCACTGCTGAAAGCTACAGTCACAGCTCAGTCTCAAAACTGGCAATTCAGACTAAGGACCAAACTAAATGTGTTATTTCAAACAAAACACAGTGCTTTATATCACACAGAACTCCCCACTGCAAGATTTCTGAGCTTAGCTTCTACTGATCAGCTCTGCCTTTACCTGTCATGTCTCTGACTGTAGCCAGCTCATGGGAAAAACCGAAACAAACCCACCCAAATAAAAACCTCAAGGTCCTTCCTTATTATCTGGTCTCAACTATAGCAATTGTTCTATTAAACCAGATAAATGCTTCCTACAGACTCATGTCCAGCTGCACAGAATGCAGAGCTGGTTTAGCTCTAAATAAAGATAACACTTAAAAAGACAAAGACTGTCACAAACTGCTCTTCTTTTGAAAGGAAGATTTAAAAAAAAAAAAAAAAAAGGCATGACTCTTGAAACTGACAACTTGCATCTCCTGATGGAGGTCAATTTTTCCTCATTCTTCCTTCCCAATCCTAACTTTCTGCTAAGTAGTTTCTTTTTAAGCTTACATGACCGAAAATGTCTATTCAGCAGAAGAATTACCTTGCTTTCACTTCTTGGATTCAGTAATTTTTTCCAAGTGATTCTGATATTGCACTTCTGGAAAGGTTTGGTGCATAAATTCATGAATGACTAAGGACAGAGATGGCAGAAGGCAGGCTGGATAAGGCCTTGGACAACTGACGTAGGCTGTGGATGTCCCAGTTCACTGCAGGGGAGTTGGCTACACGACCTTTAAAAGTCCCTTCCAGCTCTAAGGATTCAATGATCAGAAGCTATACTGTTCACCTAACAGAAAAACTCTCCCTACATCAACACCTTGAACCAGGGGAGCACCTGTGGTCATGGTGGCTGCCTTTGAGGACTTTGGTTGCCCCTAGGATAACCCCTTACAGTTCAGTGAACAACACGGGCTTTGGGATTGAGCTTCAGAATCATACCATTGCTTTTCAGACATGTTTCTTTTATGAAACTGTTCCTGCATTGGAAATGACACAGAATTTGCTGCTCACTGAACCTGGACTTAAGGAGCCATCAAATAAGCTCATACTGCCAAATAAAACCTGTCAAATACCACAAGAAGCTGATCTGTATGCATTTTTGTTTTGAAAACCTGGGTTCCAATTTAAGAAGCTTCTCAAGTAAAAATCTTAGAATTACCCAATTAATAACATAATACCACAAAACTCAGCTGAGCCCAGCTAATGCAAAGGAGTACAGCCAGAGGTGAAAATTATGCCAGAATTACTCAGTGTTGAAAAGGCAAAATCTGAATTCTGGAGCAACCATAAATGACTACCAGGAGGTGCAAAGACAGTGCTGTGACCAGACAGTCTACAGTAATCACCAAATAAAATAAAGAGTATCAAGCAGCAAAATTAGTTTCCCTAAGCTTGAAACAAAAATGCTGTTAAGATATAAATTCTGGTCCTTCTATACACACTTCAAAAAGGAATGAAATACTACAGAAGTGCAGTGGCTACAGAAATGAAGCAGAGGGTAAAAGACTACCTTAGCAGGATGAGCAGCTCCACCTGTCTGGATGCACAGAAAGACGAGCTGCTCACAGGGCCTGTCTGTCCTGCCAAGAAAAACACGGAGAGATTTCATGCTGGAGAGCAAGTGTCAGACACATTTAGCCTTGAATCAAGATGGAAGTTTCCTATTCACAGACACTGGAATCCTGTGTCTTTGCTTCATGACTCTTTTCAAAATATAAGCTTTAATCCAGCTTCCAGAATACATCTTACTGTGTCTGTGCTGAGATCAGAGTTCTGTTTGCTTCTGAAATCTCTGAATCTGCTTTCTTTCTTAGGCTTTGGGAAAAAAAGAAAGTTCCTACATGCACAATGTGCTCATGTATTTACTGCTTCCAAATCACTTCTAGTGCCTCCTGTTTATTCATACAGCACCTTATCCTGAGGGTAGGCTGGTGACAGGAGGAGACTGAATGTCAGGCAGAAGACTACCAAAAATCCTCCTTAATCCTTCTCTTGTGCTCAGGTCACACTGATCTAGCCTGTGATTAGGACAAACTTTCCGTAAGATCAGGTAGGGCATCTCTCTCTCTTTTTAATGAAGTGCAACCCTGCCATCAGAATAATTCAGGTTCATCTTACCTAACCAATCTCAGTGACCAAAAGGATGCACGTTCCTGAATACCTTCACCTGTGTCACTGGTTGCTCAGATGCCATTAGCTGTTTAGTCCAGAAAATTCCATAGGTTCATTTCACTTGTTTGTTTCCCCCTTTTTATTTTTAAAGCTCTGTGAAGTTGAACAGCCTGTAGAATAAAAGTGGCTGTAGTAGACACAACTATCTCTGTCTTACTGACAAAACGATAACGTTTGTTGAACAGAAAGCAGTGGTGAAAAGTGTTTTCCTAGCCCTGCTTATCTGCAGCATTACATGTTGCCACTGATGTCATACAGGATCAGCTACACCAGCCCCCCAGTACAACAGAGGAATAGCTGTCATTTTCATCTTTCATCTTCTAATTAGTCAAAAGCATCTGCGGCCAGTGCAACATTAATTTTTTTCCCCCATTATTAGTATTCATGGATGGTGGTAACACCAGAAAGCTTGTGTTCCATTACATTCACTGCAATTAAAAAAGCTTGTGTTCCATTACATTCACTGCAATTAGGGTCACAAGCCCACACAAATAAAGAGGTTTAACCCAAGTCCTGTTATTTTTAGGTTTCTGTGAACCCACATGCACTTCCCAGGCCTTGCGCTGAACTCGCCAACAAAGCTGTGCCCACACATTTCTGAGCACAGGGCAAATCTGAGCTCCAGCTCTCCTAAGAGCAGGGCCCCAGCTTTATGCCAGGGGTATTGAGAAAGCTTGAGACAAACCGATCCAAGTGTCTGACTCAAAAACAGACACTGGTCTCAAAATGAAGTTGCTAATAGCTGCTAGGCTTTCAATTCCAAAGCTAATTGTTGAAACCACAAATGCATACATCATTTAGAATAACAGAATGGCTTGGCTTGGAAGGGACCTCAAGGATCATCAAGTTCCAACTCCCTGCCACAGGCCGGGCCACCAACCTCCAGAGCTATCACCAGACCAGGCTGCCCAGAGCCCCATCCAACCTGGTCTGGAACACCTTCAGGGACAGAGAATCCACAGCCTGACTGGGCAGCTTGTGCCAGCGCCTCACCTTTCCCTCTGCAAAGAACTGCCCCCTAACATTCAATTTATCAAGGGAAGAGCCCAAGGTGGCTGAAGTAAAAATAGGTATTTAATTTGCCAATGTAATAAATTGGAATGAAAAAAAATAAAAATAAAAAAAAAAAAAAATCGATCTACAGTTTTAATATGCACACCTGAAATCAAGTTTTCCTAGGAAACAACAGATCTGAAGACATGAAAGACCCCAAATCGCTCAGTGGCATTCCAGGCAGTCCCTTGGAAGGAAAGCCTTCTGCTTACACAGAGGTGGCACTCACACTCACCTGAGGGCAGCCTGCTGCTGCCTCATAGAACTGCAAGCCCAAGGAGACACACAGACACTGTGCAGGTGGCTTCAGACCCAGTATGAAGGACAAGGTTTTACTAGTGTCCATCAGTAACTTGGGGGCTCTTCTAACACACCAGGTGAAGAGGAACAGTGAGGGTTCTTCCCCACTGCAGAACAGAGGCTGCAGTACTGCAAGAGAACCAGGGAACTCATAAGCAGCTTTAGGCAGAAACATAAAGCAGAGGCAGAAGACTCCTGTGCTTATTTGAATGCATGAGTATACAAGTTACAGGTTCCCTAAATAACAGCGGGCTGGGTGCAAAGACCAAAGACTGAGACAGAGTACCTTTCTCCTTCCTTCCTGATGTTCTGTGACCTCAGGGTTCAGCAAAACATCCAAAATTAACAAGACCCCTCTGCTGTGCAGTATGATGACAGTAGCATCTCCTCACTTTTCCTATATAGGAAATACTAATTTTAAAACCCTAATGGTACTACATTGGTTTTGTTTTAAGTGAAGAAGGCTGGACATTCTAAAATCAGACAGGAAAACCTACCTATTTTAAAATGTTTTGGAAACAAATGGGTATGCCACATCAGTGTCCTGGGGAAAAGAAAATACCAACCAAAAAACCCCACCCACACACCCAATGTTATCATGCATATGAAAACAATCTTGCTTTAAAGTATTAAACCATTGGGAACATCCACTACTGTTGATGCCACCCGGACCCTGTGCTTTCCTAAAGCACTGTGAATAACAAAAGCTCTTCCAGATGACAAAGAAATTCAAAACCCATTTTTGAACAGGAACACAAATGCTTTCCTGACACTTTAGAAAGACAATAAATTTCAGTGTCTGAACCATTAGATATACGATGCATAGAGGACCGACCGAAACACGCAGTGCAGGCCAAGTGGCCCCTTTTTGGGCAGGATCCAGTTATTTTTGCAGAGACTGAATAGTGAGGAATGAGATTTGAGAGCTGTGCTGGCAACAAACAGAACAGCATTTAACTTTTTGAACTGTTCTGCAATAATCACTTTTAACAGAAAAGTTAGATTACATTTTGTACCTTGTTTATGGGAGAGGAAACAATAGGTCATCACCTCCCTCAGTTATACAAAGACAGCCCTAGACTTAGCATAGCCAGGAGCTCACTTTATAAAAATCAAGCACATGAGCTAGTAGATTGTTTTACAGTTAATTCCAACTCTACAGACACGCTGAACTTAGAGACTTATAAAAAGTTCCTCAAAGAGGACTGAAAATTCACAAACTTTCTAAGTTCAACTTCTTCATTCATCAGAAATTATTAAACCTCACTGACAGGTCTTACATAAGCTCTTACATCCTGATTTAGAGACAAGAGGCTCTTATTAAAGCAAGGCCGAGCTGAAATCCCATAAGCATATCAGTTTTGCTTTCTAGGCTGAAACCAAGTATTAGCACAGTCCCTACTTATTACAACAAAGAACAGTGTCACTAATGTTAGACTGTCAATACAATATCTATTTATGCCACAAAATCCCATTTGCTAATACGTCCGTTGCTCTGTCTTCTCCTCTAGAGGACTTGCACGGACCTGGGAGGACAGAAGGGCAGAACACAACTTCCAGAGCTACCAACTGTGCCACAGCACTAACTGAATGTGCACAGAATTTGACACAACATATGCTCAGACTTTTTTTTCCTTCTAATAAGAGCTTATCCTTCAATATGCATCTTATATCTGAAACAGAGGTACACTAGAACATTGCCTTTGTTTTACAGTATCTCATTTTTGTTTTGGTAACATTCATTGCTACTTACAATTAAGTAATGAACATTAGCAAAAAAAAAAAAAAAAAAAAAAAAAAGAAGAAATATTAAGAAAATTATAGGCAATTAATGTAGCTGCTCTGGAAGATCATGAAATCACACAAAGAAGGACCAAGAGGCCAAACAACAGTGTACCACCACCTGGCAACAGAGCTGTGAGCCAGCAAGAAGCAGCACGCCTGAGCTCATGTTTGATGTACCTTTGAAGATCCTGAGATCCTGCAACAAATGCTTCCAAGAAAACGTAATCCTAGGTCTTAAGACTGGCAGGTTGAGATCTTTGAGAAGGCACTACCTGAATATGCATGGCAACGAGATGCATGAACCTCAGCCATTACTTTCTGGCAGAGCATGCAAGTGACTCAGGAGTTGCTGCAGTGATAGAGCGTGCCGAGATGGCGCTGGAACAGCAGGCTTGATACAAAAGCAGCACAAGCATTGCTGATGGGTGTGCTATCAGCCAGAGCTCGAAGAAAGAATTAGGGTACATAAATGAGGTTGATGCTAACGCAGAGACTGGAGATTTCATGCAGGCTTAGATCAGGCAGGTGAAGATGGTAGAGATTCTGAATTTTTCATGAGTGTCTCACTCATGTTTACCCGAGGCTTTTGTAGGTGGCACTCCCAGTGCTTTTAAACTGCTTCCTAACTTTGATGGGAGAGGGAGGAAAGGACAGAAATCCTAATAAGATCCAATACCAAATCAGTTTTTTGATGCAGCAGATTTGGAAAGAATGTTAAAATCCTATACGCAGAAGGAAATAAGTATCTTTGTTTCAGTTCCTATAAAATACACATCAATGTGATCCAATCTGACATACTTGAAAATTTATCCTCAAGAATCTAAGTATCTTGCTGTATCTTTCTAACCCACGTAGGAAACCTGGAGAACGCAAACCTAAAGACAAATTTTGAAGCAAATCTTCCCTGTGAGACTTTCACTGCACTTTCAAATGAAAAATGATCCAAATGCAGACCTTTAGTATGCATCATCATCCTATTTGCAAACCAGCCAACAGCCAAGCTTATTGAAATTCAAAACACCTCCTTTAGGAGGTGGTGAATCAGGCATTTCTAAGTCCTTCACGTAAATGCAGAAGCAGAGGAAGTTAACATGGCTTGCATTCTTCTTCTTCAGCCCTACACTGAAAATTTCTGAGCACTGTCTGGTACACACAGCCTCTTTGAAGATGGTTAATGGCCTTCATGTAGGACTTGGAAGTGACTGCAAGACAAAGTTCACCACCTTCCACAGTTCCCAAATCCAAGAGCGTGTTGTTTTTGCTCTCTTGG